ATATTCCATTGTGTATATGTACCACATTTTAAAAATCCAGTCCTCTTTCAGTGGGCAGCACGGTTGGTTCCATGTTTTTGCAATTGTGAACAGTGGTGCAGTAAACATGCATGTGCAGGTATCTTCTGCATAGAGTGATTTGAGTTCCTCTGTGTATATTCCCAATAGGGGACTTGTGGGGTTGTATGGAAGATTGTTTTTTAGGTCTTCTATGTATCGCCAAACTGTTTTCCACAGAGATTGTACTAGTTTACATTCCCACCAACAGTGTAGAAGTGTTCCCTTTTCCCTGCATCCTTTCTAGCATCTGTTGTTTTTTGAGTTATTGACGATGGCCATCCTGACTGGAGTTAGGTGGTATTTTAGTGTGATTTTAATTTGCATTTCTTTGATGACTGGTGAGGCTGAGCATTTTTTCATGTATCTGTTGGCAGTTCATATGTCTTCTTTTGAGAAGTGCCTATTCATATCTTTTGCCCACTTTGTAATGGGGCTGTTAGTTTTTTTCTTTTCAGCACGTTTAAGTTCCTTATAGATCCTAGATGTCAGATATACAGTTGGCAAATATTTTTTCCCAGTTCATGGGCTATCTCCCTGCCCTCTTGATGGTTTCTTTGGCTTTGCAGAAGCTTGTCAGTTTGATGAGGTTCTACTTGTCTATCTTATCTCTTATGGCCTGGGCACTTGGGGTTGTTATTTGGAATTGGTTGCTAGTTCCAATTTCCATAAGGGTATCTCCTGCATTTTCTAAGGTTCTTATAGTTTGAGGTTGTGTGTTTAAGTCTTTGATCCATTTAGAGGTGACTTTTGTGTCTGATGGTAGGTAGGGGTCTTGATTTAATTTTCTGCATGTGATCAGCCAGTTTTCCCAGCACCATTTACTGAGTAGGTTCTCCTCTCCCCAGTGGTTGGTGGTGGAGGCTTTGTTGAAGATGAATTGGTTAAAAAATTGAGATTTTGCTTCTGGAATCTCTATCCTATTCCCTTGGTCTATATGCCTGTTCTTGTACCAATACAAGGCTGCTTTGATTATTGTTTTCCAGAATATTTTAGATGGTCAGAGGGATACTAATGTCCATTTCCAGTGGAAACGTCATGGAAAAATAAATATTTTGTGAGTGTAAAAAAATACCTAACAGTGTTTGGCTTTTTCATATATTTTCAGATATTACATTTTAAAGTAATTAAAAAATACCAAGAATCATAACAGAATTGTAAATTCTTATTTAATTTTTTTCCTAATTAGGATCCAGTTTATGGAAGAGGAAAGCTTGGAGAAATTCAGGGACTTATTCTGGGAATGTTAGATACCTTTAACTATGAACAAGTAAGTAAGCTACTTACTATATATATGTCTGTCTTAAGGTAGAAAAAAGCTATTTCTTTTTTTTTATTTTGTACTTACATTTTAAAAAATTGCTGTCTATTTACTGGAAGTTAAGTAGATTGAGGTGTATATGTGTATAATTTTTCTACTTTTAAATTTCTCTCAGCCTGGCTCGGTGGCTCAGCCTGTAATCCCGCGCCTTTGGGAGGCTGAGGTGAGTGGATTGCCTGAGTCAGCGGGTTCGAGACCCGCCTGG